TGAATAACGTTTTTAAAAAGGAAAAGAACTTTTAAATGAAAGTTTTGAATTTGTATTTATTTTCTCTTATATGCATGAGTGTTTTGCCGGTGTGTGTATCTGTGCACCACGTGTGCACAGAAGCCAGAGGAGGGCGTGGATCCCAGCCCTACACAAGACATTTCTACCGTTTCCTCTAAGGTCAGGGAACATTGCAGAACAGGAGGTGGGAAAAGATCAAGAGCCAGAGAGAGGCCAGGTAGTGGCGGCAGCGGTGGTGGCGCACGCCTTTAATCCCAGCACTCCGGAGGCAGAGCCAGGCGGATCTCTGTGAGTTCGAGGCCAGCCTGGTCTACAGAGTGAGTTCCAGGACAGGCACCAAAACTACACAGAGAAACCCTGTCTCGAAAAAACAAAAAACAAAACAAACAAACAAAAACCAAAAGTCATGAATCTGTGAAAGAACTGGTAGAGAGGAGGGGGCACTTGATGAGGGGAGGGAGACCAGAGTCTCTGGGGGGAGATTAATCAGAATATATATACATGTATGAAATTGTCAAAGAACAAAATTAATAAAGCAATGTATGGATGGCATCCCAACAAGTTGCACAAAAAGATAACCCTCTCCTTCCTTCCTCTTCCTGGAACTTGTTCTAATGACTGTTTGCCTGTTTGTTTTTTTTTGTTTTTGTTTTTTTTTTTTATGACAGAGTTCTTATTCACAGCACTTAGCATTTAGTTGTCAGGTGGCTTTGAAGTTGTAAACAGTCATGCACTTGGGGGAATTTGAGACCTCCAGAATGCAGAAGTAGTCACTGAGGCTACTGATGCAATGTGGAGGCATCAAAGCCCTGGGCCTCACTTCCTGGCCTCTGGTTTACATTGTAGTCGATGATTCTCATCAGCTGTTTACATCTAACAGCTGTCACAAGTTCATAAGAAAAGGAAGGGGGGGTAAAAATTAAAGTTGTTTGGCACCAAAAGAGAGAGAGAGAGGTGGGCTGCAGGTGGGACTGTCATTGCTGCTTAGCCTGCTGCCCTCTCTA